TTTGGGAAGACCTTTATCTCTCCTATTCTGAATGACAGACTTGCTGGGTAAAGGATTCTCGGCTGCATATTTTTTTTCTGTTCATCACATTGAAGATTTCCTGCCATTCCTTTCTGGCCTGCCAAGTTTCAGTAGATAGATCCGTCACTAGTCTTATCGGTCTCCCTTTATATGTTAGAGCATGTTTATCCCTAGCTGGTTCAGAATTCTCTCTTTATCATTGTATTTTTCCAGTTTCACTATGATATGTCGTGCAGAAGATCGATTTAAGTTACATCTGAATTGAGTTCTCTGTGCCTCTTGGATTTCAATGCCTTTTTCCTTCCCCAGATCAGGGAAGTTCTCAGCTATAATTTGTTCAAGTACACTTTCAGCCCCTTTTTCTCTCTTCAGCTCTTCTGGAATTTCTATTATATGGATGTTGTTCCGTTTGATTACATCACTTAGTTCTCTAATTCTCCCCTCATACTCCTGGATTTTTTTATCTCTCTTTTTCTCAGCTTCCTTTGTTTCCATAATTTTATCTTCTAATTCACCTATTCTCTCCTCTGCCTCTTCAATATGAGCTGTGGTCGCCTCCATTTTATCTTGCACGTCATTTATAGCATTTTTTAGCTCCTCCTGACTATTTCTTAGTCCCTTGATCTCTGTAGCAATAGATTCTCTGCTGTCCTCTATACTTTTTTTCAAGCCCAGCGATTAATTTTATGACTATTATTCTAAATTCTTGTTCCGTTATATTGCTTAAATCGTTTTTGATTGATTCATTAGCTGTTGCTACTTCCTGGAGTTTCTTTTGGGAATTCTTTCGTTTCGTCATTTTGGATAGTCCCTTGGGTGGCGCAGAACTGCAGGGCACTTTCCCTGTGCTGTCTGGAGTAACTTGTGTTGGTGGGCGGGGCTGCAGTCAGACCTGATGTCTGCCCCCCGCCCACTGCTGGGGCCACAGTCAGACTGGTGTGTACCTTATTTTCCCCTCTCCCAGGGGCAGGACTCACTGTGGATGGTGTGGCCCCCATCTGGGCTACTTGCACACTGCCAGGCTTGTGGTGATGCTTTGATGGGATCTGGTGTATTAACTGGGATGGATCCGCAAGGTGCACAGGGGCGGGAGGGGCAGGCTTAGCTCGCTTTGCTGTCGGTGGTCCCCTGCAGGAGGGGCCCTGCAGCACCAGGAGGGAGGCAGACCTGTCGGAGGGATGGATCCACAGAAGCACAGCGTTGGGTGTTTGCGCAGTGCAAGCAAGTTCAGTGACAGAAACTGGTTTCCTTTGGGATTTCGGCTGGGGGATGGGAGAGAGAGAGATGGCGCTTGCCAGTGCCTTTGTTCTCCACTGAGCTGAGCTCTGTCTTCTGGGGCTCAATAACTCTCTTTCCCGATGTCCTCTCGCCCTCGCTGCTCTCCGAGGGCAGAGCTGTTCACTTTTAACATTCCACATGTTAAGTCCTGCTGGCTGTCAGAACTCATGGAGTCCAGCCCTTCCGCCTTTGCAAGCCAGACTTTGGGGGCTCTGCCTTGC